GCGCAGGAATAGCGTCAAGCTGAACGGCCCCTATGTTATTGAGGGAGATGAGGATGGTCCTGCGGAGCACCAGGGTCGCAAGGTGACGCCTAGCGAGACGAAGGAGGCCCTCCTTGAGTACCGGAAACGGCATCCATGTTCTGTCAGGGGCTGCAAGAAGGGAGATGGTAGCGATTATAGCAGTGACGACGAGAGCGACGATGGGGAGGATGGCGCACCATACGATGACGTTCCAGAGAAATTGCGGTCGCCAAAAAAACGAAAGCCACCCAAGAAGAAGAGCATTCATGAGCTCGACCCTGAGGCTGTTGAGAGGGGTGAGCTTTCTTCACCCCTGATCACGCTTGGTTGTATGTGGTTGCACATGGGGAGTACTTACTCATGGCCTAACCGCCATGTCGAGCGTTCCATTTGTTGGCAGGTGCGAAGCGGCGCGCGGTCTCGACGAACAAGAAGGCTAACGGCAAGGAGAAGAAAAAGGGACCGAAGCAATCTGTGGCAGAGGGAGAGGTAGATCGGAAGGAGGCGGCGAAGGACACGAGTTTGCGCGGGAAGCTCGGCACCGCGGAAGGGAAGATGGAGATGGCGGGGCAGAAAGATGGGTGTGGGTCACTTCCCGAGAAGAGTGCTTGCGGGAAGGATGAGGCGGGCGAGATGAAGACGGCTACAGAGGTGGAAAACAATAAGGAGTCGGGCGGGTGTGAGGTGGCATATGACGGGCGTGACACGCCTGCTGAAGGAGGAGGTATCTGACGACGATTCCGATGAGGAGAGCACGGAGTCCGGCAGCAGTTCCGGCAGCGAGGAGAACTATGATGACGAGGAGTGTGAGAGCGAGTCCGCAGACTTGGAGAGAAAATCCTGCGATGACAGCCATGGTAAACGTCATCAAGGGAGGCGCGGCGGCTCTCGACGTCGCAGGCGCGGTAAGACCAGCGGACGTGGCAACCACGGGTGGGAGAAGAAGCGGCAGCGAGGGGGGTTAGAGGACCGACGCCGCACCAACAGCTCCAAGGATCGGGCATCCAGGGGCAAGCAAAAGGGATGGAAGTCGAAGGATGATGACGACGCCTACGGGAATGAGCAAAGCGACTCAGAGAGTGAGTCCGCGGGGGAGCTCGAGCCCTGCCACAAGAAGCGTCAACGCGGCGGCGACCGGAGCAACGTGTACGCAAAGGCGGCCTCATCCAGTGATGAGGAGGAGGTGGTTGCCCAGTGGAAGCCTAACAAGAGCGGAAAGGATGCACTGGACAAGTACCCGAGGGGATCCAAGAAGGCGGACTCAGGTTACGGAGGGGAGGACAACGATGAGGAGGCGTCGGAGAAGAACCCACCCAGGGTTCGCGAAGCTGCGAACGAGCGTCGCCCGTGGCGTGGCGGGAACAATGCTCAGAGTGGCAGCGAGTTGCGTATCAGTGTGGCGGACACACGTGGGCGCGCGGCGGGTCATGCTGGATTGGAACGCCGGAAGCAGCAAAGTGATGATGGCCGTGCTGCTGGTGGGATGTGGGCATGCGCCACGGGGGAGTATGGGCCTGAGGGGAACCATCAGACACATCAGCATGCCACCACAGGTTCTCAGCGCAAACGCGCTGCGGCCGAGTATGAAGGCGCTGGCGGGCATGACGGGAAGCGTCGGCGGCCTGAGGGTGAGGACTCCAAGGGGGGGCGCTTCTCCTGGGAAGACATTGCGGATGCAGAAGAGATGCCGACCTACGTGACACCACAACTGCTGTGGCGGGCGTTGAGGGAGGCCATAGGGAAGATCCAGGAGTTTAAGGGAGAGCGGGATCGAGGCCTTCCGCGACTCGCTTCCGCATCCAGCGGCCCCGATACCGGCACGGATCTGGTGGGCGAGAGCACGGGGATGGCAGTGGTGCAACGGAAGAAGGGCATGCCCTCGCTGAAGAAGATTGGGGTGAGTCATCAATGAATCGCTCTTCCTTGCAAGGCAAGACTTGCATGTCGACTTGGTGTCCATTGCTTGTACGTGCCCCACTTACAACCGCTCGGCTGGCCTGACAGAATCTGGTGACAATTTCCTTTGCGTTGGATCTCGTCATCCTCAGGCCCGTGCGACCCTCTCCCTCCTGCCCTTGTCCACAGGTTCTCTCCATCCAGCGCATGGCCCCAAGTTCTCCTCCTCGTGAGCTTGCCCTGTATGTCCTTTCCCCCCTTACCCTCTCCCCCCTGCCCCCGCCCACAGGTTCTCTCCCTCCTGCCCTTACCGTGAGATATCTCCCTCATGGGAATGCCATGTATGCTCTTGGCCACCGACCCTCTCCCCCCTGCTGTTGCCCACAGGTTCTCTGTCTCACCCCCATTCTGCCCACAGGTTCTCCCCCTGATGTCGATGCCCTCATTGCCTTTGCCTGCCTACCCTGTCCATCCTGCCCTTGCCCACAGATCACTCACATGCCATTGGCCGGTGGTTGTCCACCTCATGACCTTGCCCTGTGTGCCCTTGCCCGCCCACCCTCTCCTTCCTGCCCTTACAGACAGGTTCTCTCCCTCTTGCCCTTCTCCACATGTTCTCTCCCTCCTGCCCTCTGTCCGCAGGTTTGCTCGCTCATGTCGTTACCCTGGATGCCCCTGCCAGCCTACCCTGTTCCTCGTGCCCCTATCCACACGTTCTCTCCATCCTTTCATTGACCTCGAGATCTCTCCCTCATGTCGCTGCCCTTGCCCGCCTACTCTCTCCCTCCTGCCCCTTCCCACAGGTTCTCTGCCTCTGGCAACAAGGAGTACTTCTCCCTCCATCCTTTGCATGTTTGTTCCCCTCCCTCCCACCCATACCCATAGCTTCTCTCATTCCTGGTGTGGCACACAAGTTCTCTCCACATCTCACCTGCTTTTTGGCATCTGCTTTGCTGCCATTTCCCCTCCGTCTCCCCATGCCTCTGGTTGTCTGTCCCCGCCCTCTCTCCCCCCCCATTCCCCCCCCCCCCCCCGACGCCCATCCGTCCACAGATCCATTACGAAACCTCGCGCGACCGGATGTGCATCGATGCGCCTGATGCGGGCATTGACTTCTACACGACCTTCTACCTCCGCATGGTGGACCTTCACACGGTTTTGGTGATGGAGGGCTACGACGTGTCTTTCGTGGCTGTTCAGGAGGCAATGACCGACAACAACTACAACGATAAGTTCAAGCGTGTATGGACGCAGTGGAAGAACGAGCGGGGGTTCCTGATCAAGAGGCGGGTGTTGACGGAGCTAGGGGTGAAGGTCAAGTGGGCGAGGGGCTCCAAGATCCATGTGGACCTTGATGACAAGATGGCCCTCTGGCATGACTTCAAGCCTCGTAAGTACTCATGTAGCTGCGCGGTCACAGTTGTTTAGTAGGGCGCATGTCATTGAAGTTAATACCTCGTGTTCACTCCCCATATCCTCACACCATTTGAGCATCATGCACCTCCATCTGTGCTGCCGTTACCCCCAACAGGAAGGAGGTTTGGGCAGTTGGTGAGCACCTGGGGCTCGGCGAAGCCACCCCCAGGGGTGCACTCCGGGCAGCCTTTTGCCAACAAGATCTTCTTTCAGGCGGCGTTCGATGCGTTTCAGCAGTGGGCTGTGGCGGGGAAGCTCTGTCTGAAGGCGTATCACATTGCCTGGATTATCATGGTGGTAAGTGGCGGGGAGCGCGCCTTAAAGGACGCCGTGGCTTGGGCTCTAGTATCCTCCCGATTGTGCTCGGCTCATGCAACCCCATTCCCGTCCCCCACCTCCCTGACCCTTTTACAAACCCCCTCGGCCACCCTCTTCCCCAGGTCGACTATGGGCTGACCCGCCGCAGGCACACCACGATGGGCCTCTCTAACTCACACCCCAAGAACAAGGCCTGGATAACGGACCTTCACAAGAGGGTGCGACAGGTGGTCATTGACCACTTCAGCAACTACCCCAAGGAGTACAGCAAGGACATGCGGGGGTGGAAATGGGGAGAGTATGGACTTTACGTCCATGAGAGTGGCTTCAAGGACGAGTGGCAGGAACCAGGGAGGGAGGGCAAGGGGAAGGCGCCCAAAGGTGGAGAGGGAGAGGCTAAGGATTAAGGGTCCTTTTGCAGGGGTGAGGCAGGTATGTGCAGGGGTGGCATCACCACACCGTTCAGGGCAGGGGACGGATACAACTGGGACGGAAGTGGAGCCAAGTATTGGCGTGGGCTCTGGAGGGAAGGGTCTGTCAGCATCATTCTGAAGGGGCAGCCATCCCACAATGGGAGGGGCTTATTGCAAGCGCCAGTACTGGCGTGTGCTGGGTTCATAACCATGGGGTGTTTGCAGATGCATGATGTGGCAGCGTCGTTTGAGGGGTGGGGTGCTGGCAGCGAAATGATGTGAAACAGGTGGGCTGGGCGGGTGGTGTGCGGGGCTTTCAGGACCAGCAGGTTGGGGTGGGGGCGCTCGAGGGCGGGTTCCTTTTGAGGGATGTGAGTGGCCTTGACATTTGGGTATCACACTATAGTGGGTATTGATAAAGCCGCTCACAGCAGCGGCAAGAACTGGAAGTTGTGGTTGGGAGCATTTGTGATATGAGGCACCGGCAGCAGCGCATGAGTGGGTTCGGCATCAGGCTGTGGTGGGGGGGGGGGAGTTAAAGGGTTGAGGCAACAGCGGGCGCGAGGAATGGATATGAGCATCACCTTGGGGAGGGGGGGGATAGGGGACTGGGGGATGAGGCACAGGTGGCAGCAGCAAGGGAGGGGTCTCAGCAGCAGCCTGTGGTGGGGGGAGAGGGGATTCGGGGAATGAGGCACAGGTGGCAGCAGCAAGGCAGGGGTCTCAGCCGCAGCCTAGGGTGGGGGGAGGGATTCGGGGAATGAGGCACAGGTGGCAGCAGCAAGCGAGGGGTCTCAGCAGCAGCTTCGGGTGGGGGGAGAGGGGATTTGGGGAATGAGGCACAGGTGGCAGCAGCAAGGCAGGGGTCTCAGCAGCAGCCTTGGGGGGGGGGGGGGTTGTGGGATGAACGAACCACAAGCAGCAGCAGGGCCAGACTCATACCTTGGTGGTTAGCTAGGTTTATCATAGCTGCAGCGGCAGCGGTGGGAGTAGGTGGGGGCTTGCAGCAGCAGTATGTGCTCTCTCAACGAGGAAGGAGGGGGTTGATGCCATCGTACGGGTCGTTTCCGATTTACTTCCAGGGTAGTGGTCCTTTTGTCCGGATGCGGTTGGTAGGGCGATCACAGCTTGGATGCGGGTAGAGGTCTAAACCCTGAGATTTTGTGTCACTGATGTGTTTTCTTGTGACACTGATGTGTTTCTTCTACTGGCCATCTATACCAATTAATGAGCCTAATATCTGTGGCAATGGAGTACTAGCGGATGTGGCAGTAACGGATATAGAATGTACCAAAAAAAGGACAACAACACGCCTCAAACACAATGAATAGATGTAAGCGTGACGCGAACAAACTTGTAATGGTCTTCGTGCACAGTACAAAAGTTCTCTTCCAGCATGACCGCATGGTGACGTGGAGGTGTTATCGCGTACGACCAAATAACATCAGCGCGGTGTCGGCAAACCATCTGCGTGGCGTTTGACAAACCATTTGAGTGGTGTTTGACAAACCATCTGCGAGGTCTTTCCAACTTACACCGCGCAGTGTTTGGACCCACCAATTTGGAAACCACCTGAAAGGTGTTCGCAACAACACTGCGCAAATGCTTTTCGGACACTGAATTTTTGCGATGATGTCACGCCGGGCCACGCGCACGCGTTCGGCTTGTTTGCCGGGATAGGCAGCTGCGCGGCCGTGAAGATTGCCGTAAGAGCCGCCGTGTTCGCCGCCGCAGTCTGCGGCAGTGAGGCTGCAGATGCCGCGCCGCTCAACCCTAAAGCTGTTGACAGGCTGTCAGCGCCACTGGTTCCGCCCACCGTCGCTGCTTCCGCTCGCTCCGCGGGTGCTAGTAGTTTCTCCGCAGATGTTCTCTCCGCCCGCCGCGTCGCTAGAAATTGCACAGCTGGAGGCAGAACCGTCCGGAGGGAGACTCGTCCGCGGCGAGCAGAAGACGGCCTCGATATAAGCGGCCTCGATATGGGCTTGAGAGCGGTGGCTGATGAGCAGTATACAAGCAGGAGAACGATGCACGCGGCGGCTGTGGTAGTAGCGTGAACGCGCAGCGCGTAAGTAACGGTGGTTGAACGTGGAATTGGAGGGTATTCCGTGCCGGCCATTGTGAAAGCTTGGCTCAAGCGTGCGAAGCTCGACTCCCGAGTGTGTTGAGCGAGAAATCCCTTGAAAACCGAAACCTACCGGGCGTAAGAAACGATGAAGCGCCGCGATGTAGGGAAAGAATGAAGGGGTAGTTGACGAATATGCAATTACGGGAGAACTCGTTCCCTTTGTAACCTACCCTGAGCCAACTCCCGATCGTGAAGAAGTGCGATGAGCGCGAGCGAGCGATGAGATAAAGGCAAATTGGCTGCTGTTGCTGTACAGTTCAGCGCGAACAGACCAACCAGATGGATGCTTGGAGCAAGGAGCAGCAGAGAAGTTCGGTCCTCGTCAGGGCTTACGCTAGAAGGGTAGCTACCCTAAATGTCGAGAAATTAAGAGTTGTCTGGACCTTGAACCCGGATTTTAGCAGGCCGGGTTCTGCCGAATCTCTGAATTTAGCCGAATCAATGAGCCTTGGAATTCGGATGAATCCGTGACAGGTTTTCATCAACCCGACGGACTAGTCTCGCAGCATGGCATTCAGCAAGGAGAATATCCCTCCGCCACTGCGTGGAGAAAAATCTCCGTCACGAACATCAAGGGTGATTTCGGGTTTGGGACTTCGATTTCATTTCAAATTGCCCCGTCATCTGTGCTCCAAACATTGGACTAGAAGGCAGAAAAGTCCTTCCGCTTAGGGAGAGTTACCACTCGGAGAACTCGGAAGGATTTCGAGTGAAAACCCCTTGGATTCCGGAAAATTCTGGGTATGATTGGACCATAACTCAGCACCTTCCGAAACTCCCTGGGGCCTAGCGTAAGCCCTGGTCCTCGTCCTCCCCTCCCCAGTCCCACTTGTCAAATCTGATTTCGTCGCAAGTGGCGGATCTACAGCATTCGTGCTGTTGACCCGCCAGCTAAGCATAGCACAGTCGCGTCACCAAGGGGTGGTTGCAGAGGTGGCGAGGAGGGCCCAAAATTGGTTGAGGCACCCTTGGGAATAAGGGTACCGCTACAGAATTACCCTGCCTCCTAAGGTGGAATTTTCAGCACCCTTTGAAAATCAGGGTGAATTCATATAACATAGTGAATACCCTGTTTGAGTCAGGGTACTAATGCCATCACCCTGTCCACTGCACAGTTAACAGTGTCTACAATTTCAGCTTCTTCTTTGTAGCAAGCATACAAGCAGGATCACTACAGCAAAGCATCAACAGCCTCTCCTACTTCAGTTACTTCCTCCAGCATTACACCACTGCAGAGATACAGCAACAGCGGGGGGGGCAGTAACAGCTACAGTGTTCCTTCCTTCCGTGGATGGAGCTGCTGCTGGAGGTGCTGAAGGGGAAGAAACATGGGGGAAAGGACATGGTGATGCGCGAGGGGGAGTAGCGAGACACTGATGCAAGTTAGCATCAAAAACGAAATCAGAATCAAAGTCGTGCAAAACCGAACCGAACCTCATTAGACTGCTCATTTCGCTCTTGCACCTCACTGTACCGTGCAAGTCTGAATTCGATTTTTGTTCTCATGCTACCTCAGGAATACGCATTGAGGGAGCAGCGATAGACTACGGGAGCAGCAAGATACTAAGGGAGTAGCAAGAGACTAAGGGAGCAGCGAGAGACTAAGGGAGTAGTAAGAGACTAAGGGAGCAGCGAGACACTAAGGCAGCAGCGAGAGACTAAGGGAGCAGCGAGACACTAAGGGAGCAGCGAGAGACTAAGGGAATAGCAAGGGACTAATGTAGCAGCGAGAGACTAAGGGAGCAGCGAGAGACTACGAGAGCAGCAAGAGACTACGGGAGCAGCGAGAGACTACAGGAGCAGCGAGAGACTAAGGCAGGGAGGAACAGAGAGACAAACAAGGCTGGGGGGAACGAGCAAGAGAGATGAAGGCAGGGAACAAAGACACTAGGGGAGGGAGCAGCCAAAATGAGAATTTGTTGGTGGGCGGGGCTGCCTGCCTGCGTGGTAGATTCGACAGTTGGCGTATTTAGAGGGCTGGGAGGGAGTAATATGTTTCAGGGTGTTTTTTGGCGCACCCTGACTGGTCAGGGTAATAAGACAAACACTCGTACTACAAAAGGGTAAAATATTCCTTACGCTTTTTTAGAAAGGGTCCGAGAAAATTTGGCCTTTCAAAATCAGGGTAATCCTGAAAAGCCGGCTGCTGACAAGGGTAATCAGGATGAAACACCCTTCAAATTTGAGCCCTGGTGGCGAGCCAGGCCAAAGCTCTGTTGCAACAGTATCACAAAAGTCAAATGGACATGATTTGAGTGTCTACGATATTGGCCAAAGGAAATGGTTGCAACTTCAAGGGCATGGGTCAGAAAAAGTGTCGAAAGCTCGAACTTTCATTGTGGTTCCACGCGGTTCAGTGTTCCTTCGTACGATCAACTACAGTGCAGCGACGTTGATTCACTGCTCGAGCGTTCCATAGGAACTCTGGTGGGGAGGGAGGGGGAGGGGGGGGAGGAAAGGGAGCCGGCGTTGAGGTTTGGAGGAGGCAAGGGATTGGGCAGGGGAGGGAAGTCGTGGGTGGCAATTTGTAAAAGGTAAAGTGTGGTCCACTACATTAGAATGCTATGCGGTACGGTGAGAGAGCACGGAATATTATTCTACGCCGCAAAATCAAGTTGCTATTTTCGAGGTTAGGACGGGTGAGGAGGTTGGCTGGGCTGGGAGTTGGACTCAGAGCCATCACTCGATGTTCAATCAGTGGCCATCAGGGCGTGTTCCCAAGAATACGTCCCACATAAATATTATGCGTTGATGTACGGTGCCAAACAATTCAAAACGGTATTCTTGCCTCACCGTTTTCAACCTTGAAGCACCACGTTGGACCCATACGAAGTGTGATGGAGACATACTCTAGGGACACGCCCTCAGGAGAAAAACGGCGTAAGGATAGCTCACCACACTAAATCAACGTAATCTAACTGAGACAGGGTTTTGAACTTTTAGCAAAATTCACCCCTTCAAAAGCCCCTCGTGCTGCTTAGCTGAGACGACTTTGCAACCAGCCTCCAGTGTGAGTTGAAGTCTCGCCATTGGGGAGTCCCCAACAGCCCATGGTTGACCCGCTAATGTGGTGAACAGTGTAAAGTAATCGGGCAATGCCCAAAAGCTATTTTGACATCACCCGGCGACATCTGCGCGACGTTCATTTTGCTTATTCCGATGGCTACACAAGCCATTTGAACATTGACTAAATGCGAAACATGCCGGAAACTTTTTTTGGGGTGCCGAAACCGAAGCGCCAGGTAAAAGTGAATGTAGAAGTCAGGTTTTTTTTCGTCACTATGCGGTACAGTTGGGCTCCCTGCTTTTGAGGCTGTTTTGTAACAAACTGTACAAACTTTGGTACACCTGTTTCACGCTTAAAAATATTGTGTTTTCACGTGGCTCAAGCCTGTTCCCCGGACATTTCAAGGCACGGGCAAACGGGACATTAGCTTAGAAATTGCACAATAACTCCCAGGCAAAATGTTGAACATTTCGACCTAACTTTGGGGGTCAAGTTCAGCTCGCTACTTAGAGGGGAGGACTGAACGTAGGGGGGCACGAGCTGGCGAAAATTGCTATTGGGACCCTAGGGATGACAAAATCAGGCAAGAATTGCAATATGGACTATTGGTTTGAAGACCGTAGCGTGGAACATGTGTATCCTAACGTTACAGCATGGCTGTACTGTAATTCGTTTAAAACCACAGGCTAAAATAGCAAAGGGGGGCTTCAAGTGAGCCCCCCTTGAAGTGGGGGCGCTTTTGAAAAAAGTTGGATTGCCAGGGCGAAACTGCCAAGGAAGTTTTGGGGCAACTGGGCAGATATGAACCTACCGTGATCCGCACCTGCGGGAGAAAAGTCGATTTCGGAACGCGTGCGACGACTTCCCCAAAGCCATGCGCGACAATTTCCCTGGGAAAGAATGTAGTGACTAGGGCGTGTTCTTTTGAGTGAACCTTCCCAGAGACCACTCTCGAAAATTTGAATACATATGGCTAGGACGTACCTTGCAACGAATCGTAGGCAATTGCGCCCAGTGAGAACATGCTTCGAGCTGAAAGCGTGGAAACACTCCACCGTACGCGCCAAAAATACTCGGGACCTAAACAGTGTAACTCTTATTTCTTACATATAGATCATTACCTACTTTACTATTTTCTAGTTCACATTTATCATTCGTGGTCCGTGGAGCTACCTTGAGCATGCGGAAAGCAAGTGAATCACAAAGTGGTTCTTGTTTTTCATAGGTTGCACTACTGCTTTTTTAATTTATAATGAATGTATGCAAAGTAAAAAAGGTTCCCACTACTTCATTGCCTAAGAGATGCTAACCACACCCTTGGCGACAAGGTTCTCAAACTGCAACGGTAGCCTGCATACCCTCATTGGTCCAGAAAAAAGGGGGAGAATAAAAAACAGGGTAAATGGTGGGTGACGAGAAGAAGCATACGGCCATGGGAGAGTACCTGAGCAATGGGGTGAACAGTAGGGTTGAAGGGGAAGGTGGTTGAGAGATGGGGAGTGCAGATGGCAAAACCAGCAACAGCATGGGAGTGAAGCTGAGGGCATAAGTGAAAGGGGAGGAAAGATAGGGGAAAGGCTTGACAGGGTGGGAGAAAGGGGAGGGGAGATGGGTGAAAGGATGGGAGAGGGGAGCGAGGTAGGGAAAAAAAGTTTCTGCCTTGACGACAAGGGAACGCGGCACAGGAGAGAGCGGGGGGGCAGCAGAGAGCGGGGAAACAGCAGAGAGCAGGCGGACAGCAGAGAGCGGGGGGACAGCAGAGAACGGGGGATGGCAGAGAGAGGGGACGGCAGAGAGAGGGGGACGGCAGAGAGCGGGGGGGCGGCAGAGAGAGGGGGACGGCAGAGAGCGGGGGGGCGGCAGAGAGAGAGGGGACGGCAGAGAGCGGGGGGGCGGCAGAGAGCGGGGGACGGCAGAGAGCGGGGGACAGCAGAGAGAGGGTGGGCGGCAGAGAGAGGGGGACGGCAGAGAGCGGGGGGACGGCAGAGAGCGGGGGGAAGGCAGAGAGCGGGGGGATGGCAGAGAGCAGGGGACAGCAGAGAGCGGGGGGACGGCAGAAAGCAGGGGGGTGGCAGAGAGCTGGGGGACGGCAGAGAGTGAGTGGAGGGACAACGGTGTAAGGGATAGGTGAGAATAAGGATCCCTGGGG